AATATCAGGAGCAGGTAATAATGTACCTTTGTACTATTTAGCATGTCATTGGTCGGTAACAAGAGCAACTTAAATTTAAATCTATTAAATACATTCTAGCGTGTCTCAGTCCTTTGCCCACAAAAGCGGCTGTAACTTTTTTTTCTATTCGAAACAGTATTCTGAAATCTTTATTAAGTTAGCAATTTTTTTATGTAATGTAAAGTTATAGCTCAGTACATTTTTTTCACCAGAGATAGTCAAAGTTGGGAAGAAAATATCAAAAAGTTAAAAATCCCAAAATAGTCCTAATTTTATGATGGTTCCTTAATATATTTTAACTACATTGCATTTGAGTATGGAGAGGCAACTATCTGGAAGTATTTTACATAAAAAATTTACTAAGTATAGCCTGGCTTATAGATGCAGTTAAAGAAAATACATGAAAAGGCACGATTTTTTTTAAATTCAAAAAAATGTAAATATTTCAAAAACTGCAACACTTTTACCTGAAAATTGTTTGTTTATCAGACATCTCACCCCAACTACAATCAATTTAATTGTAAGCACATTTGATTGCAATGATTTTGATTGCAATCAAATCACTGATTCAATCAAACATTTTAATTGCAATCTCAAAAATGCAATTATTTATTCATGTTTTTTTTTTAATAAAGAAATTGAGAGCATAAAAGCAAATAGAACGTGAAATTGAGAAAAAGAGAAAACTAGCAGAAAAAGTTATTGAACACAAAACTAGTAAAAATTGGCAATTGAGTAGTTGTTACACCGTTTTGACATTCTGCTGTAAACATTTTACTATTTATAAATCAGTTTTAAACTCTTTGCTTTACACGCAAGCACTTACACAGTCCAGTAATCATTAATATTTTGATTTCCACTCGTTTTACTTTTGTTTATGCTTAACCATTTCAACAAATGGCGGCTTTTGATATTTATTCTTCTACTTCCGCTAGCTAATTTATGAGGTGAAAATTTAACTAGCAAGAATTGCACTTCTCCCGTGTTATTACGCTCTCGATTCAGTGCTCTATTGGAATTTTTTTGGGTTATTATACACTTTTCCAGTAAAAATTTGCAGGTTCCAGTACTGACTATTTGTTACTATACACACCTAATATAAACAACGAGTTGTGAGCACTTCAAATTGCATGCATGTTGTTTTAGTAATTTAAAAGAGTTCAGTATGTTTCTCTCCTAACATGATTTGGTTATCGTTACATGATTAAGTTTAGTTACCAAATCTTGTGTTGAAAGAAAAATATTTAGCAGATTTGTCTTATAAGTTTAAGTTTGACAACAGTAGACAGAAAGTTGTTGCTGCTTGAAGAAAAACATTTTATTCAAAAAACGCCAAAAAATATTTAAGACTGGTGTAAAATTTTAGCTTATAAGACAAATATGATAACTTCTGAATTACATAATACCTTACAATATTTACAATTTACAAGACCAAATATTAAATGTGCGAACCAAAGCTTTTTGTGCGAATATATGACCGCCTAACTAATGTTCCAAGTAAATGCACTTGCAGTGCGCAACAACAATACATAAGGGCCAAACTGAGCAAAAACACGGCCGCACAAAAGGGAGATGATGAGAAATGTGCATTTTTGCATCGGCAGTTGCGATAGGGCGTTTCTGAACCGAATTCTGAGATAGGGCGTTCTTAAATCAAATTCTGAAGTAGAGCGTTATTGAAAAATTTCCTGAGATAGGGCGTTTTCGAACTGGCTGCCGAGATATGTCGATCTTCCACTCAGCCATCGATACGTTATACTACTGGGGATGGTTGAAAAACACGATAGAGGTGCTGTTTAGTTGCAGCTTTGTCATGCATAAAATCGAATTTTTATGCAAGCACATTGAATACGCTCTCGATTAGCGGAACATTAAAGACGACAATCAAAACAACCTACTGCTAGGTGTAATGCCGCGAGCGGGTTCATTTTGCGCTGCTAATGTGATGCGTTAACCCACTGAGGGCTTGTGTGCCTCACAATCGTACTTCCATTTATTCATCAAAATAAATGTCGTTTAGACAGATTGCAGTTAGCAATTTTTATGCAATTAATGATTGCAATCAAAAATTAATTGCAATCAAAAACTTATTGGAATCAATTTCTTCTAAATGATTCAATTCAATTTTTGCAATCAAAATATAAGCAATCAATGTTAATTGCAATTAAACCAGAATGCAATATTTCGTAAAATATGCGATTGCAATCCAATTTGATTGCAATTTTTTGCAGCCCTGTCAATATTATACCCACGAAGTTCCATTTATTAGATATATCAAATAACGCAATCATTATAATAAAATAACATGCAGATACACCATTATACTGAAAAGTGTACGCCTGAAATATGTATACTTTAACTACGCGTATGCATGAATGTAATCTATAGGAACACACATACATATATATTACCACCATAATTCATATATTTGTGCATATTCCTATATTCCTTCCAACGAAAAGCATTTGCTTGCATTCCTTACATATACATACATATGTACGAATGCTGTATGCATAACCAAAACCAACGCGAAAAATATTTCCCATACAACTTCGTTGAAAATTTTTCGCGATAAGCTGTTGTGAGTGATCGCGAATGGATTACCTGCAGTGTTGCCGTTTGATCCAAATGGATCAAAATGATACATTTTCCCCCGAATTCTTAAAAGATACCTTTTTTAGCTTAGTATAAATTGTGATACATTTTAATTCACAAACAAGTTGAGGGTAACTTTTCCCATCTTAAGAATTTTATGATTTTCTGGCGACATATCAAGTTTGTTTTCTTTTACTGAACATACCACCTTCAATATGCATATGGCATCACTGTTAGCTACAGACAACCAGCCTGTTCCCGTACTCCAGGATTTAGTCCGAAATAGTCCGAATCCGTTTCCTTTCACATATTTATCATATATTTTGCGAACAATTTCTCACTAAATCCTGGAGTGCTTTTGAAGTTGTCGGATGTGGTACTGGGCTAAAGGCAGTGTCACACGATTGGTACATTCGTACAGATTTGTATATTTTGGCAGTCACAGAGTGGTGTTCTTTAGGAATTTGGGTTCAGCTCAATAAAAGGATATCCAAACAAGACTACTCTGAAACCGCCAAAATGTACAAATCTGTATAAATGTAACAATCGTGTGACACTGCCTTAAGCATTTCATCCCGATTAATCAAGTATTGTGAAAATTACTTTTAAGTGTTTACAGCAGGCTAGCCAACTCATTTTTGAGAATTCCCCAATGAAATTCCCCGATTTTGCAGGAAACTTCATAAAATTGCCCACTCATAGATATCTCCTTATTAACAAACCAAAACAAAATTGTGTGTATTTTGACATATTGCTGGCCTGTTTGGTTTTTAATGTAATTCAGCTATGTATGTATTCATAGACCAAACCAAACTTTTATAAAGTTAGTTAACAAATAAAGAAAAAAAATTTACATATAATGTTTACATACGTACAGTGGTCGGAAAAGTTTTAGTCGCGCCAAGTTTTGACAAGTGTACACAATTTTTTTTTTTTTTTTTGTTATTAATTTGATTTATTTTTGTTAAAAAAATATAGTTAATTCTTTAACAAAAACCGTATAAAACCAAGTTTCAAACTTTGTGTAATAAAAAAAAAAAATTCTACAAACTTTCGTAAAAAATTCGAGCTTTTTAATTAGATTTTCTAGAAAGATTTTGAGTATGCAGTTTTGTAGCCCACTCAATTCTACTAAGTGCAAATTTCAAGTGGCTAAAAAATTTCGTTTTATTTTATTTTTTTTCCGAAAGTGTTGCGGTTTTCTTCCACATAAAAAAAGTGTGTTTATTCGTTATATGAACGCAAATGCGACAAAGAAAATTCTATATCAACGGTAATTTGTACTTTTAGTTGCAGTTGCACATCTTATGCGACTTTTTTACCTCATTATAAAATCAGTAAAGCAAAAAAATAAATTAGTTAAGACCTAATACCTCATAAAAAGCAGTTCATCTCCCGATTATGTACGTAAACTCCCCACTAAAAACGGTACATTCCCCGATTCTCCACGCAAACTCAAATTCCCCGCAAATCGGGGGAATTCCCCACAAGTTGGCTTTACTCGGAAACGGTGTTAAGCACCAATTTGATATGTGATTTTAGTTAAGTATGCAAATGAATTCACTCTGCATTTTATTGAAGATTGATACTAAACATTTTTTTTTTCATTATACTTTTAATCTATTTTAGGGAATTTTGGTGATACATTTCTTCTGAACACCGCGGCTACACTGGTACCTGCATTGTTTTTCTCATTTATGTGAGGCAGACACCGGCTATGCTCGGACTTCTCATATTCGCATGAGAGGAAATTTCTTAGCTTTTCTCGATCGCGAATGAAAAGCAGCGGACATTTTTTTGTCGATCGCATTCCGAATGTGAGAGATGATAATTTGTTTTTGCATTTTTCACTCGCGATAAAGAATGCAAAAATAGATATGAAATATTATCGATCATGGTAAATCTCATAAATAAATGAAAACGAATAATCATAAATTATAATTTCCGAACCCTGGTTTCAAAATTCAAATTAAACTTGAACTATGAGAATTAACGGTTTAAAAAGTAAAATTCGGAATTTTCAATCATTTCTATGAATTATTACAATATGGGTATCAATCGAAATGATTTTGAAATGGCTTCATTTCTAAACTACATGTACATAAGTATGAAAAATTATCACAAGAGAGAGGTTAAAGATAGTTTTAGTTTGAAAATATATTGGAGATATTTAAAAAATTTAAAGTCTCCTGATTTTCGTATATTTTAAATATGTTGAGTTTAATTCAAATAAATTATACCTAATGTAGCGCGTAGAAATTTCATACACTCAGCGAATCGGGTGAGAGCGATCTAGTTTTTTATAAATATTTCATATCACGTATTTGCAACTTTTCTAAAAATAAGTTACATCTAATTTTTTGGTTATTTTATTATTTACAGGAAAGTAATCCAAATTCCACATCCATTGTGCTATCGGAAAAACCCACTCTTCATGAAATCTTAATGCAAGAGAAATATGATTTTGAAGCAAAAGTTTTCAGAGCTGCAAAAAGAAAACGTTGGCTCAAAGGTAAATACAATTATCAAACTGTGTGTCATACTCACGTGGGAATAGCGTTATAGACATAAATTTTATGTACACAGATGTTTAATTATTTCCACGTAGCTTAAGCTGTTGACACTTTTATTATTTAAGGCGCAGTTAGTCTTGCCTTACTTTAAGTTACGTTATCTAGTAAATTGGCCAATGCAGGAAGTTTTTGATGAGCCTTATAGGCGGCTGACAATCGCTGAAATGGAAAATCAAAAACATTTTTTCGCTTCTGGATAAGTTGAAGTGTTAAGTAAGTTAAGTTTAGAGTAACTGATATTTAAGTCTGTTCCAGTACAACTACGCAAACAATTCTCTCACTAGAAATACTTTTGAGGGAGTAAGTAGGCAACTCTTCCCACTCAGAAGTTAAAAGATTTTGCCCGAGGTTTTATTTGTATTTATTTTATAAAAGGCTTACATAACAATAACAATTATTATAAAACCATAAAAAACAGAAAGTACGAGGTTTTTCTTCTGGCAAATGTATGAAAAAGTGTCAAACGACAGGCACGTTTACATTTCTTCTTGTTTAGAAAAGCATTCAAGTATCCGCATTTGTTAAAAATTTTATGAAAGCTAAAATGCAATTGAAATACACATAAAAAATGATGTCATTTAATATTTATGTAAAGCATAAATGTAGTGAAGAAAGTGCATTAAAATAAAATTACACAAATAAAGTAATACATGTTACAATAAAGAAGAAAAATATCGCAATTAAATGAAAATTTTAAAGCGAATAGTTCAAACGGTACTATCGTATGAATAAACTAACTGAATAAAAGAATGTATTAACATAACTGTTCCTGTACTGGACAAAAAAAAAAACAACTTTAAAGCACATTTGAATAATTTGAAATAAAACCGTGATTAAAAACCATTTAATTTTAGAACTATTTAAAAGTGTATATTTTATAAAATAGAATCAAACAGCAATATATGTATTTGAAGACGTATGAAAATATTTTTATATGCAAACTTTTCATTTCGAGTAATTGCTATAACCGTACAATAACAACAAACAAAAATCCTTTGACCTTTTCTTCATGTAAGTTTTTGCGTTCCTGTACACTTCTGCATCTGTTCTCCTGTTACTCTCAACAGAGAGAGTAAAATTGTAGTTTGACAGTTCCACACAGGCCTGCCAACTTGGCTCAAACCGTGCCATTTTTGGTCCTATTTTACTTCAAATAACAATTAATTTTTCAATTTGGCACAAAGTGTCAAAATGGCACTTTTGAAAAATAGTAATATTTCAATAAATTTTTGTGAAATCCTCTGCGTGAACTTCTTTTTCTCAGAGAAAATCTTCTAATTTCTAATGTTTATAAAACTGGTTTTTCTTATTTTGACATTGAATCTTTGTTTTCGAAAATTAGGACCTGTATTTCAAATTTTAGAGCGGTCTATGCAAAAATTACGGACATCAAAACACATAACTCCGGGCATGAGAAATTTGAATCTCATAGTTATTAGAACCAAATATTTTGAAGCAATAAATGATCTAAAATTAGAAGTTCAGCTTCTACTTTTCGATCAAGTTTTGTTTCGCCAAGTAATTACTTAGGCGAATTAGGTACGTTGGCAAATTTTCTCTAGAAAAACTTATAAAGATTCTAGTTTCTTCGGGCTAAAACCTGTGGAACCAGGGGTACCAACCATCCTTAGCTACGAGGCGCCATATTGAAGATAAAAAAGTGCCAAAATGTGCCAAACAGAAAAATATAAGTGCCTTTCTGTTTAATCCTTTCCATTTGGCATGAAAAAAGAAACACATTTCTAAAACAAAGATGCAATTCCAAAATAAAATAAACCAGTGTTATAAATAGACTGCAGATGTTTATGCAGAAAACAAAGTCTAAAAATATGAGCCACTTAACTATAATCAAAGTAAATAAATTTGTATACATTTTCTTTATAATTATGGGGTACATATTTTTAGGCTTCGTTTTCTGCATAAAAAACCGTAGTCTATTTATAAACTTTAGAAATAAGAAGATTTTGTATGATAAAAAGAAGTACACGCAAAGGATTTCACAAAATTTTTTT